GTCACACTCAAGCATAGGAATTCATCAGATTATTCAATTCAAAATATTTGAAGAAATCTACAACATTGAGAAAGGTCCACTTTATTTGGGGGGTCTGAGACTACCTTAGCTATTCTATTGAGCGTAGTGGTCCTTCACTAGACACATTTTGGCCTCTGAGAAAGTAGTGATGCCAGAATTCTATCCTTTTTCAGAATGGGCCAATATTTGGAAAATTTCTTTTCTAGCACTCTGTGTTGTGTATTACAATTAGTAATGCAAGCCACATCATTATAATCTTTTGTTTTTTACCTTAGACCTCTTAAAGCAGAACTCCGTGTGATTTTGTTTTTTTTTATGTAGCACCCTCCTAGGTAGGTTGGTATATTGTCCAGTTTAGTATAGTGTGGTATTCTGCTTAACAGGAGACTGAGAGGCAAAACAGAGCAGCTTTTCTGCTTAACAGAAAAGTTAAAAATGTTTAGTAAGAGTATCTGGTGTGGCTCACAGTGCTGCTGCTGTGATTGGCTCCTCTGTATCCAGGCCACCTTGGAAGGTTCTGGGTGAACAGGAGTGACCCATGCAGACCAGCAGCATGAATATGAATACTATCTCAGCCTATTAGAAGAAATGGTGTCCCTTTGCATGCTAGGTACTGGTATTTTATATTCAGCGAGCACATGGGATCTGGGTTCTTCTTCTTCTTCTTCCTATGAGAATTGAGTTTCAACCAGGGAGGCAGCTGCCTCTGTGGCTCATGCTGCCAGGAGGCCTTGGGTGGGCGAACGGAGGGCCAGAATGCTGAAACCAAGGGTGCTCTGAGAGCTGACGGAGGGGGAACGTCTTCAGATCCTGTCTGGTATCATGGAGAAAGGTGACCTGCAGCAAGGGCCCTGTGAGCACAGACTGTTCTAAAGGGATGCTGGGACTTGTGCTGTTTAGGTTTTGTGGCCTACATAGTCATCTGCTGGGTGTATGCTAGAGGGGACACTGGCTGGTGTCTAGAAGAGCAACTGTCCATTAAGTTCTGCAGAGGAACTTTGCTCCATTCTTTGAACAGTCTGCTATACCGTTATAATAAGGAAACCCACAGATCTACTTAGAGAATGCTGTCCTCCATTGTGAATAGTTCAATTTGGAGTATCCCACTATATCCCTTCCCTATCCCAACAAAATAAAAACAACAAAAACTACAACCCCTAGACTGATCATTGGAGTAATGAGCAGATATTGTGTGCACCTGGCTAAAGGAAATGCTGTGTGCTTGGCTGCGGGAGAAGATTTATGGGAAAGCGTTTGCAAGATACAAGCGGCTCCTACAGGGTATCTGGTATGAATCAAAATGCAAAAAAAGAAATGGCAGCGTTCCTGGAGGTGGCATACACCTCATGAGAGTTAAAGCATTATTAAATCCAAAAGAAAACGTTTATTATTTTGCAGCTTATCAATTCTTCCTTGCTTCTATTATCAATGCTTCCTTTCTTCTATTTTCACCTGGTGATCTGGCCAGCTAAAGTTCAAGCTCTTCAACAGAATGCAAATGAGACAGACCATTTAAGACTGGCACGGGTGATTAAAATGATCAGCTTTTATTTATTCAGGTAAAACCTTTGTCCCAAAAGAAAACAAAACTGTTTGCTTTAACTAATTATACAGTGTGAGCTGGAATTTGGCTTCAGTTAGTTACTGTTAAATCTGCTAATACAGAAAACGAATGCAGCCACCACATCAAATGATTGATAAACTGCAATATATTACATCTTTGGCTTTGGATTTAACACTGCTTGAACTACTTGTTAAGCAGCACATTTTAATTATAAAAAGGTTTGTCTGGATTTCTTCCTATCTAGTTAATATGTTTGGTCTGCTTCTCAGAATATACTATTCTTATTGGCAGGTTTAAAGTGCGTATCAGTGCATATAAAATGCTCTTTTGAATCTAGTAGTTTTTATGAGTTTTTCATTTTTCACACAAAGGTGTATTAAAAAAACACAAACAGACAATTAAAAATGGGCAAAACAAACTTCTGTAGAAATTGGTTCTTCCTTGTCCCACAGTAGCAAACTGCAGCAGTGGAGGGGCACCTTGGCAAATGGGCAGACTGTAATAGGAGCAATAATACAGCTGGGCCTGTGGAGGGCAATAGTGCAGTAGACCCTGGTGATGGATATGCTGGAACTATAATAACTAGTAGGCCAAACAACTTGCGCCTTAACACGTGTGACTTGAAAACAAAAGGTAGTCAGGCTGAGTAGAAAGTAAGTGGAGTTGGTAATGTCACGTGCAACTTAATATGAGTATGGAATTCTCTCACCCAATCTGTGGCATTGGTCAGGTGGTAGTTGCTCTCTCCATCTGTAGGTGGTGGCCCCCGTTTCCTCAAGGTTCCTCCTTCAGAGATCACTTTGGACAGCAGCACTCCATCCCGCCTGCTCGCAGGGCTGTCCAACAGACTTCTCAGCGGTCTTAGCGGACAGCAATTCTTCCTCTCCAACCCACTCTTTGCGGTCTGGTCCAGCTTCGACCTTACACCTGCTCTTCAACTCTGTCCTTGCACCTCTTGTCCTCGACTTCTGTATTTATCTACCTCCACCCATTCACCAGCTCCTTTGGGAAATGGAAATGGTTAACTCCCTATTAGACAGTGAAATCCTGCAATCATTCTATGAATTCCAAGGAGATTTTCAACAGAGTCTGTATAACTGGACTGCAGGACACTGCCATCTTGTGTCCACTTAACATCCTGCAACAGTATTATGGCAGGGTGTTACATATTGATCCTTCAACTAATAACTCAGGTGCCAGGCACCAACAACCATGGTCCCCACAGCTTTTCCATTGCTTAAAGGTAGGTGGGTTTGGGGAAAGACATCTTGGGGCCATTAATTCACATGCCAGGAATACTACTGACATTGGGATGAAGTACCTCTAATAAAAAAAACCAAAAACATCTTTGTTAATTGACAGTTTCATATCCCTGAAGCATTCAGGACAGTGTCAGTTATCAGTCCCAAGCTTATGTAGGTGAGAAGTCAGCCTTTATGGATGCCTACAGTATGACACTGATGTGACAAGTCTGCTCTGCTCGGGATGGATATTTAGACTCCAAAAAACACCCAGGGCATTGCAGGCTGCACCTTGGAACCATCAATAAAACTTCACCTATGAACAACTTTGCGCCTGCCCACAGTACATCTACTGAAGGCGGGTGACACAGTGGTACGTCACATAGCACATGCACACTAGTGCACCCCATGTGTCTGGTGGACACAGCAGATTACAGCTCTCAGTACCTGGCCACTATTAGAGACCGGGGTATCATGTGATCACTATGACCAATCCTAGCAACCACATGATATTATGGAAGAAAACTTTCATGAATGGTTTTTATTCATTAACAGCTTGCTTAGTTTGTGATGTTGTGTCTGGTCCACAGCTATCACATAGTACCTGGCACCTTGTACCATGTGATCAGCTGTAGCCAATCACAGCATCACAACAGTAAGTAAGCTGTCATGGATGTCATGAAGGCCATTCATGACAGTTAAAACTAATGCTTAGAACAGTGACCATCACTGTTAAAAGCAATAACAGTGTAAAGAAAAAAATCACTGATAGCCCCCTCCATAACAGCACAGTGTCACTATGGTGAGACTGAACTACGCTGATGACAGTATGTAAAAAAAAAGTTAGAAAAGAAAAGTTAAAAAAAATTTAAGAAAAATGTATTTATTAATTTATTTTTTTACATACTGTCACCAGTCAGTATCCCTGATCACCACCACACCAGTCATATGATGATGCTGTACTGAACTGGTGACAGTATGTAAACAAATTGTGAAAAAATGTATTTAATTTCTTTCTCAAAAAAATTGTGACAAAAATTACAACTTTGAAAAACTTGCCACGCCTCTTACTAAATACTTTGGACTGTCTGCATTCCAAAAAGGGGTCATTTTGGGGGTATTTGTACTGTCCTGTCATTTTAGGTCCTCAAGAATTGAGAGGATGTCAGTACATAAGGACTGATCAATTTTCAAATATATATATTCTGTATATATATATATATATATATATATATATATAATAGTTTGTAGACTCTATAACATTCACACAGACTAAATAATATACATTGCTTTGGGTTATTTTTACCAAAGAAATGTATCAGTAAATTATTTGCCAGCAAAATGTTTATAATAGAATCTAAAAAAAACATGATTTTTTCAAGCTCTATTGTGTGGAAAAAAATTATGTAAATTTCGTTTGTGTACATTGTTGCATGACCGAGCAATTGACAGCGAAAACAGCACAGTGCTGAATAGCAAAAGTGACCTGGTCATGAAAGGGGTAAAAACCTACTGGAGGTCAAGTGGCTAAAACGACAAATGACACTATCGTTTGGTGTTAAAATGTCAGCAGCAGTGGCGGACTGACCATTCAAGCACTTGGGCACTGCCAGAGGGCCCAGGGTCAGTAGGGGGCCCCATGAGATGCCCCTAGTACCTTTCATAGGCTTTTTTTGGGTGTGGTTTGAGTGCGGGTGAGGAATCAAGGGTCCCATGATCCCCTATTGCCCGGGGGCCCCATAAGTTCTCAGTCTGCCCCTGGTCAGCAGCATGCTCATGTGAGCATTATTCTTTCCTTGTGCAACTGTTGTGGTTGCTAAATTTAATTTTGCAAGCTTTGAAAACCAATAAAAATTTATTGAACTAAAAATGTGTGCAGCATTTATGTTGGTTTAAGTATGATAAAACATCAAATGACCTTATTCAATCATCAATGAATCATAATTGTCAAATTACTGATTCATTAACATTTGAATGAGAAATACCAGAATTGCATAAAACATAACTTAGCCCCCCTCATTAAAAAAAGGGGTGACAATCCACATAAGCGCCACAACAAGAGAAGGGAGAGAGGAAAGCACTTGTACTGTTAGATCCAGTCCACTTAACCACTTCCCGACCGGCCGTTGTATATAAACGGCCGGACGGTGGCAGTGCAGGGTCGGGTGGCCGTCTATAAATGGCCTCCCCCGCACCCTGCTTGTGCGCGCTCCCTGGGAGCGCGCAGCACCGCGATCCGGTGCCCGCTGTGTCCTCCGGACACAGTGAAACACCGTTCGTCGGACAAGACCTCTGTACGAGGGTCCCGATCATGTGATCACTGATTGGCCAATCAGTGATCACATGCAAAGTAGTAAGCAAGATGTCACTTCTGACATCATTGCTTACTATGTGTGAAATCTGTGAATGATCACAGAGGTCACATGGTACAAGGCTATTCACAAAAGCCTTGTACCATGTGACAAGCTGTGACCAATCACAGCTCACTCAGTTCTTCTCAATGAGTGCAAGAATGCACACAGAGAGAAAGAGAAATAATTGCTTTTACATCCTATATGGGTGTAAAAGCAATCAGTGTAAAAAAAAAAAAAAAAAAATCTTCATCACCCCTCACAAGTAGTACAGTGTCACCATGGTGACACTGTACTGCTAGGGTGACAGTATGTAAAAAAAAAAAAAAATAATAATAATATAAAAAATAAAATAAAAATGTAAAAAAAATGTTTTAAAATTATAATTTTTGCTTATAAACTAATTTTGGATTTTTTTTTTTTTTACTAAAAAGATAACGGAATAAATTTTGGCTAAGATTTATGATGAAATATTATTTATTTGCAAAATTTTATAAAAAAAAAACACTTTTTTTCAAAATTTCTGGACATTTCATTTACATAGCAAAAAAAATACAAATCCCAGTGGTGAATAAATACCACCAAAATAAAGCTTTATCTATCTCAAAAAAATGGTAAAAAATTCATTTGGGTACAGTGTTGCATGACCGCGCAATTGTCATTCAAAGTGTGATAGCGCTAAAAGCTGAAAATTGCCCTGGTCAGGAAGGGGGTAAAAGTGTCCGGTCTGGAAGTGGTTAAGCAAAGCCACTGGTCCATCTCCTTGTGTAGGTGGAACAGGGGCAGACTGACCATTCAGGCACTTGGGCACTGCCTGAGGGCCCGGGGTCAGTAGAGGGCCCCATGAGATGCCCCTGGTACCTTTCATAGGCTTTTTTTTGGGTGTGGTTTGAGTGTGGGCGAGGACACAGGGGCCCATGATCCCCTATTGCCCGAGGGCCCCATGAGTTGTTAGTCCACCCCTGAGGAGGAATAAGCACGAGTATGCTTTTCTTCTTACCAAGGGGGTGAGCCCTGACAGGGCACCAAAAAGGGAGAGGGGAGTGGAAAAGAGGAGAGAGAGACGCGAGCATATGGAGGTGGGCACAAATACATTGTCACCCCCTCTGTGCTCCTAACTGTTCTCCTAAAGTGATATAAACACATACTGTATGACTAAAATAGGGCAAAATATATAGGTGTTTCTGATATTACATGCAAAGAAGCATAAAATGTTAGCAACAGATGCAGAACTGGCTGTTTACATCCTTTCATCTTTATCACCTAGCAACCAAAGCAGAACTTCCCCTTACATAATAATAGATTAATGGCTTAAAGGGAACCTATCACATATACATACATTTTATGAGTAACATTAGAGTACTGTCCGTGATACTTTTTTTGTTTGCAATAACATACAATTTTGAGGACAAGCTTTCGGGGTATGTCCCCTTCATTTCTCTCATGAGTAACATTATAACCCAACAGCAGGTACTGGAAGGTGCCTGAAAGAATTTTACTGTTCATTTCTTTTTCTATGTGCCCAAGAAGCCCCCCCATCCCCAGGCACACCCAGCAAACAGGCCTTAGTTATATCTATGACTCAGAGCTTTGAATCCTTTGTTCACCAAAACACATTTCAATAAGTATGCCTCTGTGAGACTGTCCTTCCTGAAAGACTGTCCTGCCAGAGTGCAATTTGAAAAAGAGAGACTGTCCTGAGGATGCCTTATAAGAAAGTGTCACATGGGCGCAGGGCCAGAGCTACCACTAGGTGAACTAGGCAGCCACGCTGCCACCTAGGGCGCAGCCAACCCTTGCCTCACCTCTCCCTCCTCCTTGTCACCTCCCCCCCCCCCCCCCCCAGGCTCCCCATGTTGGTGTCCATCTCTGAGTCCCGGGGGCATAGGACCTATGTAGGACTGTTGGCTACAAAGACACCATCACATCCCAGCTCATTTTCCCTGCTGGAGAGGGGAGGGAGTGCTGGTGTCAGGACAGGGAGGGGGATTGGGGTAGGTGGAGCAATCACGGGAAAGATGCCCTGTATCTGTGTCTCCTCTCCCACCAGCTTTCAGCTGCTGCAGGAAGAGAAACAGACACAGGGCATTGTTCCTTTGATTGTTCCCTCTGCCACACCTAAAGTTGCCACATTTTTCAGCTTGGACTGACGGGTTGTGGAGGTCTCTGTGGTGGAGGTTCTCCAGGTGTCACACTACCCCGCACTGACTGGTGCTGCTCTCCCCAGTGTTCATCCCAGTCTCCCCGTGATCTGCACTCCCCCCTCTCCTCTTTCTGGGCAGCAGCTGGCTGGGAACTCTGATAGCCAAGCCTTGCTCCTGGAGGACATGTTTCTGCTCTGCAGATGGACATCACTGTGCTCTTCAGGGTTAGTGTGAAGGTGTCCCTGCTGGAAACAGATGTGCTGAGGAAGACTTGGACCCTGAGGACCTTCAGTGTCAGAGCCCAGGAGGTGTTGAGTGGAGGCTGAGGGCTGGCTATGAGCTGCAATGTAGACCTGTCACCCAAAAGCCGTTGTGGAGCCAGAACTCCTAGTGTGCTCTGACAGCTTCTGCTGGACTTCTATTTCCACAGCAGCTGGGATTCACCTGGACAATTCATGTTTTGAATCATGTGTCCAGTTTTCAGTCGGCCTGAAACCTGGAAACATTGTTCAGACCAGACCAGAGGCATAGCTTCAGGGGGGCAGTGAGGCTTCCCTGTTACACCTGGACAGGAGGGGTGGAAGGGTGGCATTTACTAAAAACAATCACCTGTATTTTCCTTTTGCAGCAACTGAATATTTTCTTCTTTTCCTCTCCCCCCAACCCACATTCAGCTGCTGCAGGAGGAAAATACAGGTGAACAGACAGTAAATACTACCCCTCAGGAACAGATTCCTCTTCCTTCTGCTGCTCTTGGCCCCCATGTACTCCCCTGGTTCTCTCCCCACCCCTTTCCCTCCTCTTCCCAGCCATCGGAGCAGGTTTCTCCAGGTATAGGGAGCACAGTGACTAATATGGAGCAGAGGTGCACCAGATAACAGGACAACACACAGGCTGTTTTATTTTTTTTTTTTCGGAGGGGGGGTTGATGCAAGTAGGTGGTCTTGCCTAAAAATGGTCTAGCACCGGCCCTGTGTGGGAGACTGTCCTTTATAGATACCCAATCAAAGAGACTGTTCTGTGAGACATAATGAGAGTACCCTGGAGACAAGTTGCCCTAGTAGACTGCTATGTGAGAGACTGCCCTGTAAGAATGCCCCATCAGAGAGACTGTTCTGCTGTGCAGAAAAATGCACAGCAGCATGTCCTTGCTGATAGGAGAGAGACCTGTGTTGTTTACAAACAGGTCTCTCCACTGTCAGTTTTACTCAGCTATCGCCGGTGCTGGCAGGGAATCTCCAGCTGGAACCCAGTGATTGACATCTGTAGCCGCCAATGGCAGCGCAGGCAGGGTGGCATGCGCCCCCTCCCTACCCAGAAATGCAAATTGCATATATATACGTGATTTTGTGCAGCCCTGCCACCCTGTAGCAGTAGTTATACTATAGGGCGGCAAGCAAACGGTTAAAGTCCTCTTGTGAGAATACTTTTGCTCTGTTGTGAAGATTTGATTGTCCTTGGATTGGGGTCTAAACCACACCCCCCTATAACCACCTGACCAGTAAGAGTACCTTGCTGTCCAAGAAAGGACCTGTCATAGGTCAGGGGTCTATTGTGGGCAGGAAGTGTATGTAAACAGTGACTGAACCACACATATGAGGTATCGCCACAAACTTCGCAGTCAGGGCAATAATTCACGGTTAACTCTAAACAGATAACGTGTAAAGGTATTTAAAGTGTCACCTTTTAAAAATTTCAGCTACGGCGCCCACAACGTTGAGTCTTAACACGTCTAGCATCTACACAACACTGAAAACTTTCTTTTCAGCATTTACTGAAAATCCTTCAAGTGATATTAAACCCTTTTTTTAACCTCTTGCCGTCCGCCTGCTGTTTATAAACGGCAGGGCGGTGGCAGTCCAAGGTCGGGTTGCCGTTCCTAAACGGCACCCGCCTTTTCTAGCTGTGCGCGCTCCCTAGGAGCGCGCACCACCGCGATCCGGTGTCCGCTGTGTCCTCCGGACACAGTGAAACACCGATCGTCGGACGGGACCTCTGTACGAGGTCCCGGTCATGTGATCACTGATTGACGAATCAGTGATCACATGCAAAGTAGTAAGCAAGATGTCACTTGTGACATCATTGCTTACTACGTGTGAAATCTGTGAATGATCACAGAGGTCACATGGTACAAGGCTATTCACAACAGCCTTGTACCATGTGACAAGCTGTGACCAATCACAGCTCACTCAGTATTTCTCAATGACTGCAAGAATGCAGACAGAGAGAAAGAGAAATGATTGCTTTTACATCCTATATGGGTGTAAAAGCAATCAGTGTAAAAAAAAAAAAAAAAATCTTCATCACCCCCCACAAGTAGTACAGTGACACCATGGTGACACTGTACTGCTAGGGTGACAGTATGTAAAAATAAAAAATAAAAATAAAAAATAATATAAAAAAAAAATAAAATAAAAATGTAAAAAAAAATGTTTAAAAATTATAATGTTTGGTTATAAACTAATTTGGATTTTTTTTTTTTTACTAAAAAAATAACGGAATAAATTTTGGCCAAGATTTAGGATGAAATATTATTTATTTGCAAAATTTTATAAAAAAAAAACACTTTTTTTCAAAATTTTTGGACTTTTTCATTTACATAGTAAAAAAAATAAAAATCCCAGCGGTGAATAAATACCACCAAAATAAAGCTTTATCTGTCTCAAAAAAATGGTAAAAAATTCATATGGGTACAGTATTGCATGACCGCGCAATTGTCATTCAAAGTGTGATAGCGCTGAAAGCTGAAAATTGCCCTGGACAGGAAGGGGGTAAAAGTGTCCGGACAGGAAGTGGTTAAGCAATTTCAGCTTCCACTTTAAATGCTTACTTGACACACCTCTCCATCAGTTACTAAACCTTGCCTTTTCACCAGTCTTATCCTGCCCCAATTTACAGTGGCCCCATTCCCTTGCTATGTCCATGTGGAGCCCACCTATTGTGCAAGCTCCAGGGAATAGGACTGCATGGAAACATAGGAAAGCTGCCTGCACCGATGCGCATCGACAACCTGAGGTGAAAACACAGGATACACCCCTTCAGTGATTGACAGCAGCTCCCTGGCTGGCTCGCTGTTAAGCTGGGTATACACTAGTAGGTTTTAGTAGACTAGCAGAACGAAGGTTCATACAAAAATATCTCAGTACATACATGTACTGTACACTGTTAGAAATGTGTTTATTCAAGAAAAATTTCCATTCTGCTTCATCTAATTATCTTGGTACTATAATGGAAAACAAATGTTGATTTAACCCCACTAACAGGCCCAGACTGGCCATAGGGCACACTAGGCATTTGTCCGGAGGGCTGAGGCTGCTTGGATATGAGGGGTGGCAGGGGCAGCATATAGAGGAACCGATCTGTCCATTTCCCTCCTGCCACTGCTGAGTGCCTGCTTCTCCTCCTCTCCCCCCTGCAGGCATTCAGCAGCTGCAGGACAGAAATGGACGGATCAGTTTATCTATACAGTATGCTGCCCCACTGCCCCTCCTATCTATCTTCTTTCTGCTGCCCCTGTCCTCTCTCTGTCCCCCTGTGCTTTCTCCGGGTCCCCTGTGTGCTCTCTTCCGCCACCTCCTGTCCTGCAGGGTTCCTCCCTCCCCTCTCTGTCACGATGGTGAGTGCAGAAGGGGCCTGTTAATATGTAATTTACAAGCCCCTTCCTTTTCTGAATGGACAGAGTCAGTGATCAGTACGGATCACTGACTTTGTCCATTCGTAACTGAGGCATAGTATACTGTGTTCACTAAACTTCAGTTTATGAATAAACCGTAAGCTCTGTACAGAGCTGTTCCTATCCATTAATTCTGTGCTGCTGAGGCTGCAGAGATGGAAATTGAGGGCCGTGACCTCAGTCTCCTTTCTGTGTCTCAAAGGTGAGATGTCAGGGGTCTGTTTCGACCCCTGATATCTCACCAAAGCCCCCCAACAGGGCCCCTAAAAAAAAAATTAAAAAGAAAAGAAAAAAAAATGTTAAAAAATAAGAAAAATAAAGTAAAAATAAAAAAAAACGACATATCATTTTTGTCCCAGCTCAGGGCTGCCCACTAATGTTCAGGAAACTTTAGTGAAACTAAAATTTTAGAATGAAAATCTACTAGCGTATATCTCATCTTTACTTTCACAAAAGTGTTCTCATGTTGGACAAATTACATAAATGAAGTGGCACAATGATGGGACATCTAGTCCTCAGTCATGTAATCATGTGACTTGTAGTTATTATTATAGATGGCACTCCCCAAGCAGAAGTACATGTGAGGCTCCATTCATATTAATGCAACTAGAATTTGTACAACTTTGGGTGTGACTTTGATCCAACTTTACATTCTCTGGGCCAAAGTCGCATCAAATGTCGCACCAGAGTAGTGCAGACACCTTTTCAAAATCGTTGTGACTTTTATGTCACAGATTTGAGCAGGTGCCATTGAAAAGAATGGGCTGTGACTTGTCGTGCGACTTCGATGCCCAAAAGCCGCATGAAAACTCGCACAAATTTGAATGGAGCCTAAATGGCAGACATAAAGACACAGCTGTATGATGATGCAGCTGTATACCAATATTAATACACAGTAGGTCTTTATGCACTTTTTAGGGAAGCTTCTTTTAGTGCAGTGCCATACAATAATGTGTTTTGGCTAAAAATGATGAAACTTTAGTACTGCTTTATTTATAGAATACACTGTAAGCTTTGTATAAATGTCCCATGAAACTAATTAAAACGGGAACATATAAAAGCAAGTTATGTGTAAGTCTATTATCCTGTTGAGTAATTGAGAATGATTTCCATGCAAAGGTAGTCTGGCACGTTTGAGTTTACATAAATAGAGCTATTATATCATAATGAGCTTTCTTGAGAAACAAGTTGTTGGACATCAGTTAGTTGGCATGGCATGCGTGATTTTTGTTGTTTGTATATTGTATGTACAATGAAGAAACAGGCTCATCACTCGTTCTCATCTCAGTGTCTTAAGTAAGCCATAGATGCTGCAATTGTCTTTCCTGCAACCACAGTCAGTGTTGATGGAGGAATCCCTTCATTGTGCAACTTTGGACTGCGACTTTGAGTGCAACTTTGATCCAACTTTACATTCTCTGGGCCAAAGTCGCATCAAACGTCGCACCAAATTAGTGCAGGCACCTTTTCAAAATCGCTGCGCTGCACTATTCTGTTCTACCAGAAGAGAGCAGTCCCTGCTAGAAGAACACAACGATTATTGCTGGCAGCTATAGCTGCTGGCAGTAGTCACATGCAAGAAATCCGACAGGCTGATCCATTGATTGACTTCATTACAACCAGCCTGCCTATAGCTGGATCAAATCTCAGGCGGTCCCTGCTGAACCAAGATACAATCCATCAATGACCAGCAGTAAAAGTAGGCAAGCTAGCATTGTCAACAAAATGTATTTTCACAAATGTCTTATTAAACCACTTAAGTAACAGCCTGTAATACACCTTCATTACCAGACCATTTTTAATTTTATATCTTATATATTAATTAATTTATTATTTTTTTTTAACAAATAGCTCATTCTTTCAGTAGTATTTACTCGCACTGTTTTTTTTTTAATTATACAAATTAAAAAAAAAGACAAACAATTGTGCAAAATGCCAGGGCAGTACAAAAACCCCAAGCATGGTTCCTTTTTGGAAAGTAGACACCCTAAGATGATCTCCCATTTTTGTTTACAAATAAAGATACATGCTAGTATTGAGGGTTTTAAAGCATGGAGATTGGTAATGGTGCACTAGATACATCACTGTTGTACAGCTCAGGAGGAGGAGGTGAATGGGCTAATGTACAGGTCAGATACAGTAGAAGGATGGAGAAAAGGGAGTTATGTGTGCAGGATAAGAGAGGTGAAGGCATTAATATACAGTCACTTTGAAGACTTGATGGAGAGGAGATGTACAGGATAGAAGGAAGGCTGATGGGTAAAATGTTTTTTAAAAATCCTGCAATAAAACAGTAAAGATTACCCCCCCAACATGACTCTACTGCTACTTACTTCTCTAAGATCCCAACAGTCATAAAATCCCTTTCCTCCCTTTCTCCATTGTGAAAAGAAGGGGGCTCGCAAATGTAGGCAAACACAAGGCACAGAGCCATTCCAATTGGCTCTATGCACTTTGCCTAAGATCTGCACTGTCTAAGACAGCATGATTATAGGCATTGCTCATGCGTAGGTGGTAAACAGTGCCATTTAAAGAAAGCAGTCCAGGATACCACTTACAACAATAGAACTTCCTATCAGAATTCCAAAGTATTAAAGTGGTAGTAAACTCCCGCATGTCAAAATCTGCTGACAGGCCAGGTTTTCATAACAGAAGAGACCCTAGAGGTCTCTTCTGTCATAACTGTCTTCCCTGCCTGTCAGCGGTAGTGCGATCTGAGCCACATATGCGCAGCTCAAACCGCATTTACAGCACACTCTTCATCCTGTGGTGAAGTGACTCCCATGCGCATGCTCAAGCAGCCAAAGATTTGGAACCAAGAAGGAAGACCAGGTTAACATTGAAGCTGCTGGGGATCAGGGGAGCCGTGACAGCCCAGCTCTGCAGGGCTTCGTTTATAGGTAAGTATCTCATAATATACTAGTATGCAGTACATACTAGTACATTATGACCTGCAGGGGGCACTTTTTTGTACTTTCTCAAGGAGAATTTACTAGCACTTTAATACTTGGAATTACAATTTGGGCTAAAGTATTTCTTTTTGTTTTGGATAAAATGAGAAAGAGAACCTCTTTCAGGTTGTTTTTGTATTGAGGGCTCGTTCACACTAGAATGCGGAGCAGGAGAGCTGCGGTCCCATGTGACTTCCCACATGGGATTCCGATCATAATGCCCTTGTGATCTGCTGCGGGGGTCAGTTAAGAGTTCTCACCCCAAATGCAGGTCGCAAGCGCATTGGCCCGCACCAAATCACATTGTTGAAAGTACCATGCAATGTGGTTGCGTGCGCTTCAAAAAGTAGTGCATGCACTACTTTTGGTGCGGTGCGATTTCAGCCCATTCAAATGAATGGACTTGAAATCGCACCTTACAGAGCTGCAGATGAATTGCACAGGAACGCACAGCGCTACCCCATTGGTGAGTATTTTCACTTACTGTCCAAATGACATCGCTGTTCTCTAGCTTGTCTAAAACCGCTTTTGGCATAAAGGGGTTTATTTACTAAAGCTGGAGAGT